AATTAATTTGCCAAGAGAACAGGCAGTGCACGAGAAATCACTTGATTGTGGAATTTTGACATTATTTAATGAATATCTAAGTGAATTTTGAATAATTTTGTGCATCATAGTGCTGCCTGGATGACCTAAACGGTCATGCCACAAGATAAAGGAATTGTGGGCATTAATTTTATATACCACATTTATCTCAATTGGACTGATATATTATAATACAGTCCTGAGGAATATGCAGGCTTTTTTTCAGAAATGTATTTATTGCCAGATTTATTTGTCGTTAGACATAAGTATTTCTTCTGATTTCAGACATGGTTTCAATATGAAAACCATTTAGACCCATATCTTTAAAACTCAAAAGATTTCTCCGTGATTTACTGGAATATAAAGCGTCTTTAATTATTAATTTTGTCCCTTTTGGGAGAATCACACAGGTTATTCCAGAACCTTCAATGAGTTTAGCAACATCTGATATTGTATTGACATTAGCTTCAACTAATGTCATATGAGAAAAACATTCTCTATGTCTCAAAATGGTGTGCGTTGTGCCGCTATCTATTAAACATTTTTCAAATCTACTTGGAGGAATTTCAATTAACTCCATATCTTCGCGAAGATAAAAATGAATAAATATTAGTTCAATATTGTAATATAAATTGTACTTCACTTAATAGTACATTAAATTGTGCATAACTTTCAAGTTAAAAATAAGCACTTTAAATTTTATTTTGAAATACTTCATATTAGATAACAAGGAGAAAATATAGTGAGGTACTTTATTATGATTTTTAATAAGGGAAGTAATTTAGCTCACATACTTACTTCTTATTAATTTCTACCTCATCATTTGAGGTTAAAAACAATCATGAGTGTCGTTATGGTCCTTATGGAGGTTATTCCCGGCAATTGACAGAACGTACATTAGAGCATCTTTAACGGGAGCTTCAATTGATGTGAATACATTGCCACGTCACACTTCACAAAAATTATCATCTCCAACGCTAACATGCATTTTACCTGTGGTGCTGAGTTGTAATGCAAATGAATGGACGGTGTCTATCTGCCCTTCTAGATATAGCGGGTATGTCTCACATCGTGACTCAGCACAACATTGATTATACGGAGTAATACGGCATAGTATTTCATTAGCATCTATACTCTTTTTCTCTTCCGGGTGCAGTAGTACCCTGTGACGACTAACTCCGGCACCATCTCACAAATCGCAGTCCCTTTTTATGGCGGCAGCGGCGAGCAACCTCTTTTTTCTCCGGCGATCGTCTTCTCCTACTCTTCAAACTTTGAAAATAGAGACTGTCTTCCCTTCCAATTTCCAAAGCTCGAGCACTCTCTTCCAGTCTGTTTCGTAGTTGTTGGCTATCGTCCCTGTTAGGCTGTTATCCCCATCGTGTCAGCTTCCTCTGTAGAGTATATCATTCGGATTCATCCTTTGCTTCGGGAATTGGAGTAACAAGGAGTCAGGGACTTCTTTCTCGTCCTAGATGCTGGAAGCTCATTGGAATTACTTTGTGCACTCATTCTTCCAGGTTTCAATTTGGTTCTTGTGGTCTATCTAGACTGAGAGACGGTTTTTGTCTTAGCCTCAGTCATCGTCATATCAAGCAAGTATGTCAACTTTTTGCAAATTACATAATCAAATCTTCTCCTCCCTCAGCAAGAGGCGTCCCTGTAGTGTTCTTCATTTACACTTCCGGTACTATTTCGCCGTTCTTTTCATTTCCGGCCATCCGGCATGTGTGTATGTATGTATATACATATTATATACTCTGTATATTTAAAATATATAACGCCTAACTAATGGGGGAATCCAGTCATCCACTGTATACTCCGTATACTCCCTTTTAATTTGAATTTTTGTGTATGAACCGAGAATGCAAGAAGGCTCACATCAGGACTCCGTTGGAGAAGAAGAATGAATTCAATGGTCTGTGCATCCACGTCAGCTACACGGGATGTCCATACCGATGAGGTGTCCATTTTTTGTGGGAAGCAATCCACATTTCTGTTGGAGATGCTCTTAGAAGTTCAAGATTCCAGACTGCCCGCAGAAGCCATTACAAGTATTTTTATTATTTACTGAGCATCTATCCGTTTCTTAGTTTGAGCATTTATTAGGTAATTACAAGCCTTATTAGTAGTTTGTTTATTACCTGAGGTTTTATATCACTTCACGTTCCGGAAGAAAGTTCTTCAAGAAGCGTCGTGAATATTCAACGAAGGTATGTATCCTTCTTTTAATATACTTATATAGTTTATAAGAGGAAACTTCATGTCCAGCCGGCCTGACGGAAACCGCCGTCCGGCCGATGGCATTTCGGGAACCTCCCGGTCGATTTTTTTGATGAAATTTTTAACACATTCTTCATCAAGTCTAGTTTATTCATACCAAATTTCAAATAAAAATTCAATCTGGAAGACAATCAAATAATTTTTGTAAGATAACTGCGTTGTTTATATATATATATATATATACACACACACACACACACAAAGCGCTGTTATCTTCCAAAATTTATTTGACTACATTTCCGATTGAATTTTTAGCTGAAATTTTGTGTGGATAAACTAGACTTGATGAAGAACATGCTAACAAAATTTCATCAAAAAACTCAATCGGGAATTGCCCGAAATGCCTCGGCCGGACGGCGGTTTTGTTAGGTCGGCTGGACAGGAACGGGACTCTAGTTTATAAATATATATTTTATATAACAGAAATTTGAAGAACATAATTTATTCAAAGTAGATTTATCTTTTTGCCTTCTTCAATTTATTTTACAGAAAATGTAGCTATAATTTTTTGATATGGAGGATCCCAATGATTGGACAACCATGGAGCATACTTCTTATAGTTTTGAATATATATGAACATGTTCATACTTTTCATCCTCTGCTTTTTTATTTTCTTCTTCAAGATAAGTTGATAAATTCGTGAAAATATATACCTACTGAGAAGATGATGATTTCGGAGATTTGGAGCAAATTCATGTTGATAACGTGTTATAAAATGGAAGGAAATAAACATAAGATCAGGGAGAGAAAAAATAGTATGAACACTTAGTGATGGAGGTGTATTAGAGATGTTCTAATGGTGTGGTAAAGGAGTTCACATGATGTGTTAATTACAATGGAGAAGTCTCTTATTTATAAGAGAAAAGCTCATCTTCTTAGGATTATAGGATAATTGTGAACCACACAATTATCATCATAGAATCATAATTGTGATTTCCTAATTATTTATATAGTGGTGATAATAATTTCTAATCACGAATAGTTGGAAGATGACTAATTCAATTATGTTTCAACAAATACTCTCTCCGTTTCTTAAAACTTTGTCAACTTTCCTTTTTTGGTTGTTCCACTAATTTTGTCACTTTCCCTTTTAAGTAAAGAATTTGTGATTCCAGTTAATTCTCTCTCCTCTGCACAAACCTCAACCACACAGTTTTTACTTTATTAATCCCCACGCCGGTCAAACTTGGCAAAGTTTTAAGGAATGGAGGTATTATAAAATTATAGACAATTTATGTATTCTCAGATACAAATAAATACTTGATTTAAAAATGAAACAATGGCACAAATACTACTTATATAGTTTGGTTAGACAAAAATATGACCAATTCCCGTACTCCCGTTCAGCGTCTTTCTCCTTGCGCGCAAATTGCGCTCTCTCCTTCATCGCGACCGATTCCTCCTCTCAGACTCTCTCCTTCACCGTCGACCAAGAGGCGACCACCTCGGCGAAGACGACGGAGACCACAAGAAGCGACGGTTATGACGATTTCTTCTTCGCGGATTACCTTCTTCTTCCTCGTTGTTCCTCTTCACCATCGTTGTTCGCCATCTTCAACTCTCTCGTCCTGTACAGCGGCGATTACTTGATCTAGGGTTCCGTTTTGACAGCGAATTCAGATCTGGTAGTGGTTCGTGTGGAGGATGTGGTGAGTGGGGGCTGTTTGGGCTAGGGTGTGTCGCAGATGGCCTAGGGGGCTGGGCGAGGTGTGGATGTGGTTTTTGGGGCTGTAGCAAATAGGGGCAAGGACTGGGTGGCGCTGGGAGGGATTGGGGCGGAGATGGGGGAGGGTCAAGTAGTGGTGGGGGTTGGACGGTGGGGTCAGCAATGGGTGGTGGGGCTTGGAAGCTGTGGGGGGGCTGAGGGCTGGGGTTGGGGGAGCTGGTGAGGGGGTTGGGGTGCACGGGAGGGGGAAGGGGTGCAATGCAGGGGAGGGAGTTGGTGGTGCAATGCAAGGGAGGGGGCTGGGGGGACGGTCTCATGCTATGGAGGTCGTGTCGAGACAGCAAGGTTACGGTTTCCGACGAAGATTTTGACGGACAAAAGTCGACGAAAATTTTCCGACGACACAGTTACATGTTTTCTGGTGAAGTGACATCTAAAAGTGACATGAAATCGATAGTAACATTTCAAAAGTGATATAAAAATCTGGTGGTGACATATAACAGTGACAAAATTCTGATAGTGGCATCGTGTTTTCCGAAAATGTGACTTTCTTAGTCACATTTTTGTCCTTTTGTAAAAATTACCACTTTTTGGAAATTAGCTTCAGATTAATAATATTCAAAAAAAAAACGCTTCAAAATCACAAAAGAAATCTACATGTTTTAGACAAATTGCCTTTAGACAAAATGTATAGGACAATAACAACAAAAGGTGTACATTTTTCTAAATAAATGGATAAGCAACAAACCATGGGATTACGTTGTTCTATCTATCTTTTCTTTGTAAAAAAAGATTACACTCCATTCCTGAAGGTCCCCCAACATTGATCGGACGGTACGATGGGAGGATATAAATTAGATTATAATTACAATCTGACAGATAAAGGGTGAGGTTCTGTCCCCGATACTTGCAGAGGCTCTATACATTTTTAGCATAATAATCTCTCATCAGAGTTGTCGGGATTCGAACTCAGGACCTAATAGTCCCTCGTGGCACTCTATCCTTGCCAATTGAGCTACGCCCACCTGTTATCTTTTCTTTGTATGAGTAATGAATGAAGCCATGAATGCATAATTATTTGATTTGTTCTACTGGAGTCCTTGATCTTCTCCGCACCGAACATGACGTCACCTCTCCCTCCATCACCTGAGAAGAGCGAGTACCTCGCGGCCGTCCTTGGCGCTGCCCGCCCTTTCCTCCGAGGTGAGCTCGAGCGAGTCGACGACAAGCTACCCTCTCTGGTCGCCGTTCTGCGCTCCGTCGGAGCCGGAGAGTGCTGGCATAAACACGGTAGTTTCCTCGAACACCTGGTGGACATTTACCGGATACTCAAACTATGGAAGGCTCCAGATTCAGTCTGCCTCTGCGGCCTCTTCCACTCAGCCTACTCTAACTCTTACGTCAACCTCGCGATCTTCGATCCTTCGACTGGCCGCGACACCGTCCGAGGCCACGTCGGCGATGAGGCGGAGCGGCTCATCCATCTCTTCTGCGTAGTCCCTCGTCAACCCCTGATCCACGAAGATCTCCTGTTCCAGTACACCGACGCGGAAATCGTTGAGCACCTTCTGCTTTCCGAGGCATCTCTGAAGAACGCCAAGGAGAAGGGGGAGTTCAACGACGACGAGGCATGGAGGAAGAAGCTGCAATCGGTGGTGCCGGCGGACGGGATCCTCACTAAGCACATCAAATCGGGCGATCCCGTCCTCGTTTCGAGAAGAGTGTTCGCGATTTTCCTGCTAATGACCATGGCGGATTTTAGCGACCAGCTATTCGGTTTTCAGGACGTACTGTTCGAGAATTCCAACGGCCGGCTCGAATTCTCCGGTAACGACGTCAGATCCGGCTTGTGGCCAGGCGACGGGAAGCCCGGACTCTGGATGAATTCAGTATCGCGGATGGGCGCAATATACAACCTGATCGTCCGAGAAGAAGAAATCTACGTTGAACAGAGGAGGAGGAAAACCGGTAGACCGGAAGAACCGGTCAGAGATGAGCATATCGAGCTTGTGATCCCGCCGGTGTTCAATTTCTGCACGAAACTTCTCGACGCCGGAGACCAGATACTGGCAAGGGACCTGTACTGGGAGGCGGTGTGCGATGGGCCGAAGAAAGGGTTGGATTGGGCCGAGCAAAGGTTGAAGGACAGCATCGAAAAGAACCCATTTGTGGGCGAGCCCCACGTTGTATTGGGCCAGATTTATTTGAGCCTAGGGAGGTTCGAAGAGGGTGGGGTAGAAGCAGAGAAAGGGCTGACTCTGATACTGGAGTGGGGCTCTCCTTGGGACAAGAGAATGTCTTGGGAAGGTTGGGTTTCTTGGGCCAGAGTGTTGGTCATGCGGGCCCGTGAGAGGTCTTGGCCTGAAAATGCATGGGGCGTTCTTAACTTGGGCCTCGTTCGGTAATTTGGTCACACCTCCAAATTACTATTCGCAATCATTTAATTAAATAAAAATAAATAAAATTGCCTCAAATATCTAAATTATCTTTATTAGGAAAACTGTCAAAAGGAAAGCAAGCAGTTAAAAAAGCCACATCCAGAATAGAAATACATTCTGTTTGCAATCTTCCTATTTATCAAACTAGACAAATGATCTGTATTATGAATCTATGATAATGTAAATCCTAGTGAGATTATATGCGTTTTCAAGTCATTTTAAACACGAACTGTCTACTGAATAAAAAGCGTTTACAACTAGAAATAAGGTTGGTTCATTTAAAACGCGAAAAAACGTCTACTCCCGGTAATTTACAAAGAATAATACTATTTCCGTTTTTTTTTTAATCTTCACAGTTTAACTTCACACAAAATAAGGAAAGAAATTTGACTTTACTGTACTGTTGAGGCACTGTTTGACATTGTTTGGCACTGTAGAGACACTGTTTGGCACTATTGAGACACTGTTTGGCACTGTTTTGATGTAGATTTCTTTGCCAAAAAAGGAAATAAGGAAGTGTGAAGTTTATTTTAGACCGTCCCAAAAAGAAAAGTGTAAAGTTTATTAAAAATCGGAGGGAGTATGTAGTAATGTTCCTCGTACTCAGGGATGGACCCGGGCCGGTTCCGGTTCCGGGCCGGGGCGGGCCCGGGCGGGCTTTTTTTCCAATTACATGGGCCCGGAACCGGCCCGGGTTGATACCGGGTCCGGGCCTAGCCGGGCCGGGGCGGGCCCGGTTCAATGTTTATTTTTTTTTATTTTTTTTTGCTTTCTTGTTATCCCCCGACCCCCACCCCCACCCCACCCCCCAAACCTCCCCAAAACGCCCAGCCCTACCCTAGGAAAAGAAAAAAATTGAAAAAAAAAATGAACCGGGCCCGAGCCCGGCCCGCCCACACGGGCTAAAAGCTCGGAACCGGCCAACCGGGCCCGGTCCGGTTCGGCCCGGCCCAGTCCACCCCTACTCGTACTTTACAAAAAAAAATGATCAATTGAATAAACACATTAAATGCATATCAACTAAGTGTGTTGATTGTATTATCACAAATTCACAATACAAAGTATTCAATTATGAAATACTACAGTTAAATGCAAGTCAGCTTAACCGAAAGTTCTAAAACAGTAAAACTTAGAATATTACTATGTTTTTATCTAACATTTTTCTAAACATGAATAACAAGATCAAGGTTTTCTAATTTAGTATAAACTTCTAAACATAAACTATAATAAACATAGCAAACATGCATCTTTCTCTTACGCATCCGTCATATTGAAGATGTTGAGTTTGACTTGTGTGATGAAAATGATGTTGACTTGCTCTTGTTCTACCATTCTTTTCTTGACAATATTATCATCAAATTATGTATTTGATTTAATTGCTGTATGTTTTTTGCCAGACTTGTACTATTACAAATTACGTATTCTTTAATGCAGTAATGAGATTTGTTGCTTTTGTCACCTATCTATGGTTGTAATAGAGTAATAGACTAATAGACTAAGGGTTAAACTTAAGCCTTAATATGCTCAGGATGAACATATACACTAGTATATTTCCTTCTCCTATTCTGTTGATAACTTTCTTGGGCCCTTCAAAAGCAGTTCTCTTTTTTTACTTCCAAAACATGTTTTTTGTTCACATTATTTGAATTCGAACAGAGTTGTTATTTTAACTTCCAAATGACTGTTACTGTACTATTTTTGGTATTGATTATTTGTTATGAATCACAACTAAGAGTAAATTCCATAATCTTAGTAAATTCCAGAATAGGAGTAGAAGACCTCATAAAATGACTGTTTCTTTGCTCTTTTGGATATGATTATTTGTGATGAATCACAACCAGTGGCGGAACCAGAACTTTATTCTAGGGGATGCTGAGAAAGGTAAGAAGTATAAGAAGATTATTTTTGTTGTACATGACGGTTTACACGTTTAAACGTCCCCTAAAAATCTGTGTAAACAGGGCAATTCATAAAAAATCAGATTTTTTTAAAAAACCACATGATTATGTAAATTCAAACTATTAGAAAACTTTCCTCTCCGATGTTTAAAAAAAGTAATTGAAAACATAATGTTTACATATGAATAACGAACTAACTATTCAGTGAAATAAATTGAACACAGGTTGTTTCCCCTTTTATTGTAGAAGTGTTTGAATACTCTCCCATAGGTACTAGAAATTTTAACATGTTTAACCTAACAAATTATACAACAATAAATTCATGTAATTCACATAACACAAGCATAAACTCATGTTTAATTGACTTTATGACCTGATTTTTTATTTTAGCACTAGTACATAAATAAATAACACAAATTGACAAATTGTTGCATACTAATACTCCGTATATTCTAACTCAAAAAACGGCAAAGCACTAAAACTGTGAAGAGAATTGAATAAAACTACAATTTTACAAAATTAATAAAACTAATACGGAGTAAAAGGAACTTTACTCTCATAGACTCATAGTGCATCACAGATATACAGTCGCACAGGTCGCTGCTTTCAGCCTCACTCAGCGTAGCCCTTCGAAGTTTCTAGTTCGCCCCTTCAGCCTTCTATTTTAGGTTTTGCACTTTCGCCTCTTCAGTTTTGGGCCGAGCAATTAACCAAATCCAAAGAGTAATCCTAAGTTTTCTAACGGCGTGAGGATGAGAGGAACCGGAAGTCCAGAGGGTCAAACGCCTGTTTAATTTTTTTGTTCAATACGACGACGTTTCATATTATCCTGTGCACTTAATCAAACGGCGTCGTTTGGCCAACTGAATTAATAATAATAAAAAGGGTTGCAGCTACTGTCATTCTCTGGTTCTGCATCTCACACCGCCGCAGGTATAACAAAGAAGATGAAGGTACAGGGGCGGCAAACTATAGACCTAATACTAGTACTAAAAACCCGCCGGCGAAGGGGTGGCGCCAGCACCGGCTCGCCCACCCCTGGTTCCGCCACTGATCACAACTAAGAGTAAACTCAACAATCTTAAGCAGATCACTTCATAAGAGTGGATATACATGTAGTCACCTGTGACTAAGTTGGCTTGCACATCATATTAATTGAGCATTAGCAAAAGTAAATAAACTAGGATGTAATGTGGAGATCAGAGGAAAATACCACAATTACTTGAATGGCTACTAAGCATAGTTGACCTAAGGTCATTTACAGCACTCCAAAAACAATAAAATTTTAACAATGCAGAACATGCGACTACAAAAGCAATGGCCAAGTGTACTAGTCTTCCTCCTCTTCAATCTCTTCCACTTCAGTCTCCTTTACCTCCTGATCAGATTCTTCTCCATCCTGTATAGATGACGCAGACTTGTGAAAATGTTAGCTGACAGCTTAGCACAGAACTGATAAAGAAGGAGTATGCATTGATTAAAAACTACAAAAGCAATGAACAGGTAAACAACATACATCTTCATGTTCAGCAGCATTGTGAGCTTCGAGGAGCTTCTCATATTCTGCTTTGAGCTCAGCAGCTCTTTCAATATATGGTTTCTTCTCCTGCACAATATATGGATTGCCAAAATAAACACTTTTAAGAAAGAGCATATATGTGGGAAAGACAGGACAACTTTGTCAATGAAAACTTACATCATCTGTCAATGAGTTCCATTTCTCACCACCCTCTTTGGCAACCTAAATTTACAGTGGAAGTTTAACATCAAACAGAAACCAACACAAGATAACACATACAAGATTCACCAGAATAGTAAAATACATAAACCATTCTAGTACCATAGAGGACTTCTTATTATCAGGATTCTCTTCCTTATAAGTCTTTCTAAAATCTTGCCTGTAAATTCATTAAAGTCATTATTACTTGAAAGCTACAATTCAGATAACAAAGCACACATAAGCTTTGAAAGATACAATGCAAAGGAGAGAACAATACATGAAAACAAAGAAGGCAGTGGGAGGGCGCTTTGGTGCATTTGGATCCTTGGACTTTTTGGACTTTGATTCAGTTGAACTTGTTTTTTTCCTGCATTGCACACAAGTTAAACAAGGTGAAAATTAAAGCACAGAAACATATAATGACCAAATCAAACTTGGTATAAGACCATCAAGCAATTTCAAACAGACAATGTACCTTGTAGCTGGCTTTTTCTTGACCTCAGCAGGCATCTCAATTACCTGAGCTTCTGCAGATCAAAATACTTTTATTAGAAGCAGGTTCCACATTACAGAAGAAAAAAACTTATTCACTTCATGATTAAAGGTAATTCAAGAAACGCATATAAAGCCATTTTAAAAGCACATATGATGGATACATGGATTAACATAAATAGATTGAGAAGTCATGAAATATGAATAGTTTTACCCAAATTCATCTTGATCTGGGCATCCAGACTACAGTTGTGGAAACTAATCAAAGCTACAGGAACATCCTTGTTGCATTCATCACTGCAAAAGAACAAATAACTTAACACAACTCGACCATGAACACTTACAAGGTACATATTTATTACATCCAAAGCCATCAAAAAATAAAGAAAAGCACAAAATATTAAGATTCCTGAAATAATAGTAAAGCAAATCATTTGTGTAGAACAAGTAAAGTTTCTTTTCAACAAAAGTTCCCCATTTATGTAGATTATATCTTCATTTCGTTGTGCAAACAAGTTAAGTGATACACACCAACCAATCGATTAGTTTTCCTACATACTCTATTAGACAAAAATACGACAAAATAGAACAAATTTAACCAACCCAAAACCTTGACTACCAGAGCTATTACTCGGCTAACACGAAGTAGATCTGAAGTTGTCGTACCCACAGTTGTAAAAACGTAAAACCATCACCGACAGAAATACGAGTTTGATTCAAGAAATTCATTCGAAATGAGACGATAGCAGTGGCGGATATGCTTACCAACGAGTAAAGGCACTGCCATTCTTGGCGCGCTTGAGGCTATGGTTTGAAGAAGAAGGAGATTCATTGGAATCGACCTCCACCCTCTTCCTCACTCTGGGTGCGTTAGAAGACTTTCCAGATGCTCCGCCGCCGGCCATTTCAACAGGTATAGATATACAGTATCTCTAGTAGTAGCAGTAGTATACTTCGAAATCGACAGCCAATGAGAGTACGCTGTACGCTGAAGGAGGGTTTCGGGGTTAAAAAGGGGGTGAGAAGAGACTAGGAAAGAAGAGGGAAAATCTAATGCCGAAATTGAAAAATTGGAACGGCGCGGAATGAAAATGGAAAAAGCGGGTCTTCGCGCGGTGGTGTATTGACGAATTCGCGCG